GACAAGGTTTCTCTGTGGTTTTGGAGCCTGTCCTGGAACTAGCTCTGTAGACCAGGCTGGTCTCGAACTCACAGAGATCTGCCTGCCTCTGCCTCCCAAGTGCTGGGATTAAAGGTGTGCGCCACCACTGCCCGGCTCTGTTTGTTTTCTAATGAAGGAGGAAAGTAAGTAAGACTAGGGACTTCAGTAGGTGGAAAGGTGGAGAGAATCCGGGAGGAGCTGAGCTGTTCGGAAGCATAGTCAGAATAGTTTTTTTTTTTCTGCCTTTGACTGACGAAATTAACCCTTCATTGGCTTTCTCTGAAGGTGATGCCATGCAAAACAGTACCGATGTCCCTCAGGGCCTACCAATAGTTTCCCTCTAGACCTCTAACTAGACTTAAGGCAAGGCAGGCTCCTCGAGGGGAGGTAGCATGGGGAGCTGCGCTGCCCCGCTGAAGAGCTCAATGAGTTTGCTAATTCATCCAAACAGAAAAAGGTAACATTTCAGGGGCTGGGTGTGAACCTTCTGCTGAGGGTGGAGAGACTTCTACCTCAGGTGAGATAAACCCTTAAGAATCTGAGGCCTCAACGTTCACAGCTTCAACAACGCCCCCCCCCCCCATCTCCATGGCAAGTTCCAGAATTCCACTCTTTACTAATAAATGCCCTTGCTTTAACTGCCAAAAGAGCTGGGACTTGAAGTTTCCCGGCAATTCAGCCAATCTTACAATAAAGGCTTTCATTTGATTTTCTGCAACTTGAGCTCTATGGCCTCTGGAGAGAAGATTCTCTTCCAGGGCACACTTAGAACCTGTAGGCTGTTTTTGCACAACTGGCACTGGCCAGTTTTATCACTGAGTTCATTGTTGTCCTGAATCATATCCTGAGATGCCAGAAGTTAGTTAATTTTATCACGAGCTCATTCTTTATCAACTTACCCAAATTCTAGGAGCAACCAACCGGCAGCATCTTTTAACAAGTTTTATACACAGAATCACCAAATCACATCTGGTGATTTATGTTAACCAAATTTAATTTTTGATTACTTTTACTTTTGTAAAAATAGTTCACACTAGTTCATGGGCTTTCAGTGCTCTCCAAGCTTCGAAGAGAGGTTTCAGTAACTGAAGAAGCTTCGGTAATTGTAGGATGGCAAACCGAAAAGCCCATTCTAGATGCTTTAACAATTCATCCTTATACTTCTGTTGTTCTAGAACCTCTTCTGATATCAAATCTGTATTAGTCAGGGTTCTCTAGAGGAACAGAACTTACAGAATGAACACACACACACACACACACACACGTTCAAACGAATTATAAGAGTAGCTTATAGGCCATGGTCCAGCTAGTCCAACAATGGCTGTCTACTAACAGAAAACCTAAGAATCCAGCAGCTGTTCAGTCCACAAGGCTACATGTCTCAGCCGGTCTTCAGTATACACCAGAATACTAAAGAAGTAGGCTCTAATGCCAGTGAAGGGATGGACTTGCCAGTGAGAGCCAGAGCAAGCAGGCAGAGAGCAGGCTTCCTTTTTCAATGTCCTTTATAACAGGCTGCCTTCAGAAGGTGTGGCCCAAAGCAAAGGTGGACCTCCCTACCTCAAAAGATCCAGATAAAAGGTGTATTTTTCCACCCCAAAGGTCCAGACTAAAAGTGGGTCTTCCCTCTTTAAAGACTTAACCCTCACGGGTGTGCTCAGCTGCTTGGGTTCTACCTAATTCCAGATGAAGTTGACAACCAAGAACAGCCATCACAAACGGTGTGCCACAAAGTCTGAACTTAGAAACCAGTTTTTCAAAACACAGGACATGCACTATACCCAGTCCACATAGGCACCATTTATGTGAGCTACAAGGATAAGTGAGTTTTGTTTTAGCTCCCTATGAACTAGCTTTGAGATGTCCAATCTAGTTTCACTCCTTATTTTTGCTTTTATTGGCCCTCTGATGAAAAGCTCTGCTTTCATCTCCTCTGCACAGCTCATCACAAACTGTTAAGAGAAACATCGATTCCATCTTGCAATTGAATTTGCTATGACTTTGCTTTGTAACTGGAGATCACTGCTCAGGATACTAGCCCTTCTGTTATCATCACTCCAGAGATAAGTCACAGTTACTGTCCCCAAGAGTCCACAAAAGAACAAAGCCTTGGCCAGGCACTGTGGTACAGGTCTGTAATCCCGAGGATCATCAGAAAGTTCAAGGCCAGCCTTGTCTACGGAAGCAGTATATAATCTAAACCCTCAAAGACAACTTCCTGTCAGAGTCAGTGCTGCAGACATGGTTCTGGCACCCGCAGCAACTGGAGGAGCTCCTCCCCACTTAGGGACCTCTACTCAGAGAAAGCCACATCGTCAGCATGATGAAGAAAAGAATTTCAGGACAGGCTGACAGGAAGCAGAGCTGTGGTTTATTTTAAAAGTTTAAGAACAGAGGTTAATAGAGAGGTGCTCAGGGAAAAGCAAATCACATCCAAAATATGAGTGTGGGATTAAGAGAGGGCACCCTTCACTTCTGCCTAACAGTCAAACATAGGATTCTGTTGATTTTCAGTTATATCTTGAGAGGGTTGTTAAGTATAAATGTGGTCACAGGAAGACTCCTGAGGTATGCTGGGCAGGGACTGTAACACACTAGACTACAGTGGAGGGGGCAGAAATTTGGGGTATATTCACTGTGAACAAAAGCTGTTTTGTTAGTGGGATTCCCAGAAAATATCTAGGAGAACATTAAGGGCATACTCAAAGCCATGTACACTCAGGCCTTAAACCTGGTTTATTGCTACCTTAACATTCTTTTACAGTTTTTTTCAATAAGGGTCTCACTATGTAGGTAGGTTTGGCTAGCCTAGAACTTGCTATGTAGACCAGGCTAGCCTCCAACTCAGAGATCAGCCTGTCTTGGACTCTGAGTGCTGGGATTAAAGGTGTGCACCATCATGCCCAGCTTTTTAACTTTCTTTTTTGAGGATGTTTCTATATAAAAGAAATATTGCCTATATGTTGGCAGCCTTTAGAGCAAATATTAGTGGTGACTGTCCTGGAACTCTTGATTTTCAGGTAGTAAGAGGCTGCAACCACACTTTAGAGGGAACGCTCCCTTCTCTCTCTGCTTAGTCTTATCTGTGTATCTTATCTCGTCCCCAGTCATACAACGCAGTGAAGTAGCTCCAGGTATGGCAGGACCAGGACGTGAGTTCTGCATCTCAGGCCTAGCAGGGACAGGATCTGAGAAACATCTATAAACTCAGGCAGAGAAGCACAACACAGCACAAACACATACAGTGAGGTGCAGAAAATCCAGTTCATCTCACAGAGGACTTCCTTGAGCACCTCCTGTTCTACAATACTGGGCTCTGCAAGAGAAGATTTGGGTGCACACGCCAGAGAATCAGTTCAGGAAGGAAAGTCATGGCTGGTAAAGACCAAGCTAAGTAAGATTCAGGCTTCAAAGAGGCACACGCAAGACACAGAGATGGAGAAGGGTCCTTACAGGAGATGGAAAGGGCAGCTGGGGACAAGGGAGCATCCTTGGTGTGAAGACATTTAAATGTCTCCCAGGTCATCAGAGATAGACAGGAGACCACAGGCAGTTAAGAGCTGCTGGTGGCCAATCACAGGAAGGTCTCAGAGAAGACCTCCTAGCTCTTCTAAGTGCTGGCAGATTCTTATCACTGTCAGAGAAAGAATTCAGAGAGGAGAAAAGAAAAGAGGGCAGTTATATTACAGAGCAAAAGTACATACAGAGGCAGTGAGGACTCCTCGAGCCCTTACACACAGGCCCTTCTTGGTGGTCTTATTTTAAACTATTTTCACTAGGGCCACTTGACAGGGAATATTTCATTTTTCTTTCATGGCGGGGTACACAGCACAGATCAAGCATGATATTCACTTGCCATAAACATCCTATCCCATAAACATATCAAGCTGTTACCTGAATCTGGAGGTTCTGTTACCAGCCACTTCTACCAATATATATCAAGACACAGAAAAAGGAAATGGGTTTTGCTTACAGTTTTCGTCAGAACTGAGGGAACATGGAGGTCGGGGGAATGGTCCTTTCTCCCCATTTTTCTATAGCAGTGTTACAATCCACAGAAAAGAAAAAACAAAAGTCAGACAAGTATATATATACATATGTATTCTGAGCTGTGAAATAACTCATCAGGGCTGGGTGATGGTTGCGCACACCTTTAATCCCAGCACTCGGGAGGCGGAGGCAGGTAATTCTCTGTGAGTTCAAGGCCAGCCTGGTCTACAAGAGCTAGTTCCAGGACAGGTTCCAAAGCTACAGAGAAACCGTGTCTCAAAAAATCCAAGGAAAAAGAAATAACTTATCAGAACTATGAGCCATCTTTTCTGACGGGAAGGTGTGGGGGTGTTCTAGTAGGCTCCAGGCTATTCTCACCCCCATCACAGGACTTCCTGGAGAGGTGGTAATTTTTCAGGGTTCATGTTACACTATGACACACACTGTATCCTTTATGAGATGTGTTTCCAACTTTCACCCTTCTTGCTTTCCTGTAAGATCTCACTGGCCCCTGCCTGCTCCCTGGTCAGGCCCTCTATGGATCAGGGATGGGAATGCAGGGATTTGCAGTGGAGATGAGGCTGGAAAGGTGTGTCAGGCTAAGATGAAGATGGTTTCAAAGCCTTCAGTTAGGGCTATAGTCCTGTCTTATAGACATGGGGAGCCCAGCTAATGAGGGCACTGAGGGCACTACCAAGTCATGCAGGTATTCCTTAAATTCAGGAGGAACCACGACTGCCAAAAACTGCAAAAGCACTAACTGGAGCCATAAGTGAGCTCAGAAGGTGACACCTTAATCTACACATGGTATGACTATCCCACCAACTATGGCCCAAGACCAGCAATAGTGTTCTGTGTCCCATATGCTATGTCACCTCTGCCGTATGATCGAAACAACAGGCATTTAAAAGAACAGTTTGCCAAAACAATGGATAAGTATGAAATATTCTTTTCTTGAAAAAAAAAAAAAAGGAAGGAAGAAAAGAAGTAAAAATCCCCAACATAAGCAAATTAGCAAACAGGGTTCTATTTACTTTCAAGTGGTCTTAAGAGCAGATGCGTTTGGGTGCGGCTATATTACCACCATGGAGGTAACAGTTAAGTTCTGAAAATTCAGTCTGGTGATTGAAAACTCCTAGATTCATACATCTTAATCCTCATTTTAGATTCTCAGAATGTCACACATCATACATGCTAGAAAAGGGCTCTGGGAGAAGAACCTGTCAGTTCCAGCAAAGAATTTCCTTCCATTTTACCTGCAGCACCACATCCGAAATAGGATTGAAAACGAGCAATCTACAGCTGCACTGCAATGAACCAGAGCACTGCCCCTCGCTCGTAAACTACCCCAGACTGCCCCAACATTGCACAGTCATCTCAGATACACAGCATCAGCGTAAACTACCCCAGACTGCCCCAACACCGCACACAGTCATCTCAGATACACAGCATCAGTATAAACTGGTAATCCGAAGGAAAGAGCCCAGGTATCCAACTTTCTGAAAATTAGGAAAAAAAAAAATCATAGCATTACTTTTCATACTCCTGAGACTATATTTCACAGGTATCTGTATAAATAAAAAAAATCCACTTCAAACATATGTCATATACAATACAAACCAATGAACTGCATTAGAAGTCTTTACATATCCTAAAAACTCGAGCAATACAAGTATACATTTTTGTAAGAGTGAAAAATATAGCGAGCAAAATAACTTACGACTGCATCAGGGTAGCTGATGGTGCAGACCCGGGTCTACAGTAACAAGTGCACTAAAAAGAGCACTGAGGTCACCATGTAAGACAACAATCCTTCAAAGGACATTAAAGACTTGATTTCTATAACCTTTTTGGATTTGGGCTTTGTAATAAATATGTAATAAATATCTGCAATAATTGGGTGCGTCGATAGCTTATCTCTCTCCATTGGAAAGTCTTTCTCTGGAGTCATAGTGTCTTAGAGGTATCCCTGGGGGTGGGGAGTTGGGGTTTCGCAGCAAGTCCACTAACAAAGCCATTTTCGCATCTATGTGCTCCTGGAGCCGACAGATCCTCTCATCAATGTGGTCCATAAGCTTCTTTTCCATGAGCTCCATGTTTTTAGAAAGAACCTTTTCCAAGTAGGAGCAAACAGGCTGCTCTTCCATCCTAAAAATAAAAATGTAAAGTCTATCAATTTTCTCTTTATGATGACAAAAGCAACAAACCGAGCTAGCCAATGAGCACCCAAGCTACACACTGTGATGGTCTCTACAGCTACCCTCCCCATGGCACATTCCAGCTCTAAAACCCACAGCAGTAGCTGCTGTGCCAAATGCACAGCACTCTCCTACTAACTGCTTTGTCTAGTAAGACCCTGAGAACAATATAAAGCAAAGATAATCAAAGACCAAGCCGAGGCTGTGGCTGTGCTGCTGGAGGTCTTTCTAGCATGTAAGAAGCCTTGGGTTAATCCCTAGCACTGCCTAAGATCAGGTGTGGTGCTAAGGGAGACAGTTCAGTCTACAAGAACTGCCCTGCAAGCATGAAGACCCTTGATTCTAGAATACAAATTAAATATTACAATTAAAATTAAAATATTGAAAGCTGGGGCTGAGGGAATGGCTCAGTTTGGAAAGAGATTCAAGTGTGAAGACCTGAGTTAACACCCTCAAGCATACTCCGTAAGAAACCTGGTGCTATGGCCTGTGCCTATAATCCTCATGCTGGGGAGGCAGAGATGATGGCTGACTGGCCAGCTAACCTTGCCAAATCAGGGAGCTCCAGATACCATAAGAAATCTGCCTCAAAACCCAAGGTAGGACATGATTGAGAAAGACACCCCAAACTGACCACTCCCTTCCACCCATATTTTACACACACTTGCATGTACACCCTCATATATGAATCCTTACTACATAAATTCACATACACATGGCAGCCATGGTAGTGTGAACTTAAAATCCCAGAACCAGGTACATAATAAAGACAAAAGGATCTTAGTGACTCACTAGCCAGTCTAGTTTGCAGTGAGAGACCCTATCTCAAAAGACAATGAGGATGGCTTCTGAGAACAACACCTGATGCTGCCCTCTGGCTTCCACATGCTGAACATGCTTCACCTGCAAGCACACACCAACACAACGTGTGACACACACCTGTAATTTCAGCACTTGGGAAATGAACCATGAGAATCAAAGTTCATGGTCAAACTGTGGTCAATCAGAGACTTGCCTAGGTGTGGTGGTTTGAATGAGAACGGCCCCTGCAGGTTCATATATTTGAATGTTTGGTCCATAGTTAGTGGAACTGTTTGGGAAGGATTAGAAGGTGTGACTTTGTTGGAGGAGATGTGCCACCGGGGTGTGGGTTTTGAGGTTTCAAAAGCCCACACCATTCTCAGTTAGCTTGCTCTCAGTCAGATGTAAGCTCTCAGCTACTGCTTCACTGACATGACTGCCTGCTGCCATGCTCCCACCATGATGGTCATAGCCTCTAACCCTCTAAAACCATAAGCTTCCAAATTAAGTGTTTTCTTTTATAAGTTGAACTTGGACATGGTGTTTGTCATGGCAATAAAAGTAACTAAGACACTGGGCTACATGAGAATCTGTCTGAAAAAAAAAAAAACTATAAGCCTTCAGGAAAGGGCTGTTATAGTCAGTGAACACCAGAACAGGGAACCTCACAGAGGGGCCTATAAACCTTGTGCTCTCTCCTCCAGGAACTCAATGAAGTCTAAAGCATGTTTGTACTAATAAAATGATGTTATCTCACTCTTTCATCCTTATGCTCGTGTGAACACACAGCGGCACTTTCCAAATGGACATGAGAAGTAAAACCTGTGCTCTTATAATTCACAGAATTGGCAGCAGTAAATTCTCCTCCTAAAATGCCCTAATACAGCAGATTTAGTATATAAACGTGCATTTCAGACACTAACTTGCTTTGCCTTCAGTGTTCTTACTAGTTACAAGTTATAACTTGTTATACACATAGAAGATTGTAGTGATCAAAAGCTAATATAGCTTTTCACAAATTAAAATATAATTTTCACTAAAGTCTTAAAAGAATTTCCTTCTTATTCATACTTACATTAACATATGGTTTTATTATTTCCAAACTATGAAGTAGAATCAAAACCAGCACGCTAATATTTATACACAATGTATGTAGAGCTCTGTGCCATTTTATCTGTGCACAGTGTTCATCCCAACACCACCAGTCAAGACGCAGAACCTGCGCCTACAAAGACACTCATCCTGTCATCCCTTCCCCAACTCCTACTAGTATGTCTCTACCATTTGTCATGTGGCCGCATGGGTCTGTTGGTCCTCATCATAATTCACCCAAAAGCCATCCAGGTTGTCGTTTGTCTAACTGCTGATTACCACTCCACGCTATGGAAATACCAGTTCTTAAATTGCCTGTTACAAAATATCCCGGTGTTCCCATTTTAGAACTATTACAAATAAAGTTTCCCCTGGGCAGTAGTGGAAAGTGGGCACATCTTTAATCTCAGCACTCAGGAGGCAGAGAAAAGCTGATTTCTGTGAGTTCAAGGCCAGCCAGGGTTACAGAGTGAGTTCCAGGACGGCCAGGGCTGTTACACAGAGAAACCCTGTATCAACACAAAACAAAACAGACCAAATAAAACAAATAAAGCATCCAAGAACAATTGTATACTGATTTTTATACTGTCATAAAATTTCATTTCTCTGGGTTAAAAGCCAAGGAATATGTCTATCAGGTCATGTGATAATGTGCATGTAGTAATCAAATTGCCAAATGTTTTTGGGTGACTGTACCATTTTATGATCCCAGCAGTAAGCTGTGAGAGATCTAGTTCTCCATGTGCTTGAGAACATTTTTAAGTTTTAAACATTGAATTATGTGATTTCTTTGTATGTTAGGAACAAGTCACTTGTTGAACTTGTGATTCAGAAATCTTTTCTTCCAGTTTATATTTAATCATCTGACGAGGGTCTTCCACAGGCATCAGTTTGACATCTTGCCGGAGCCTACACATCATTTTCTGTTTGTTGATCATTTTTTTATGGTGTATCTAAGCATTTTTCCCTCAGAATCCAGGAGTTCCTCCCATATATTAGAAAGTTTCAGTTTACTCTTTGCTGTATGGCCTATTATTTTCATAGGTGTGAGGTTTATTTTTTTTAAATATTTATTTATTATGTATACAATATTCTGTCTGTGCGTATGTCCGCAGGCCAGAAGAGGGCACCAGACCTCATTACAGATGGTTGTAAGCCACCATGTGGTTGCTGGGAATTGAACTCAGGACCTTTGGAAGAGCAGGCAATGCTCTTAACCTCTGAGCCATCTCTCCAGCCCTGTGAGGTTTATTTTTACCTGTTGATATCACAATGGCTTAGCACCACCTTTAAGACTGCTCTTCCTCAACTGAACTGCAATGCTTCCAAGCCACCTTTGTGCTTCTGTCCCATTCACCTGAGTGTCCCACTGCCTGCTAGTGCCTGATGCTACAGCTCTACCACATCCCGAAATATTTAATGATTTCTCTTGCCTTATTCTTTTTAAACATCAAGCACATGTATCAATTAGGGGAGTACTGTTGCTTTATTATGCTGAGTAAACCTATCGACATGGCATGTCTCTACATTATTTTAGACTTAAGCCTTCTCAAAATTTCTTCTATCAATATTTTATAATTTTCAGTTCACAGATCCTATTATGTCAGCTATGTACAATTATAGGTTTTTAAATATGTATTTACATATATTTTATGTATTTCAAGTTATTTAGCATCTAGTTGGGGTTCCAGTAACAGTAGCTTCAGAAAATGAGAAGTCTTTTTATTCCCTTGATTTTCTGGATTATGTAAAAAAAAAATGGTGTTCTCTACATGTTTGGCAGAATTCTCGGGTAGAACTACCTAGGCCAGTATATTTTTCCCCATGAAGATTCTGTGTTGGCTTTCCATCTCTGTGATGGTATCTGAGAATATTTTCAGGGTTGCTTGCTTCCTGGTTTCAGAGTTTTACAGCCTGCTTTCCCATTGCTGTGGGCCCAGGGTGGATAGAAACTATGGGAGATGAGTGTGTGCCAGACCAAAGGGCTCACCTCATGGCAGCCAGAAAACAGACGAGAACTAGGGAGGGGCCTGGGATCAGACACTCTCCAAAGTCATGCCCCAGTGACCTACTTCCTCCAACAAAGCTCCATTCTTATTACCTTCAAACACTAACAAAGTACAACTCCATCAGTGCCCTCATGACTTTTTATGACTTGATACAATCTATTTCTGTGACTCTTTCACAAACATGAATAAAACTATTCTGCTATTGTCAGTAGAACTTATACTAAGTGCTGATGTAATCATGTTGGTGGTTGGGGATTATTTTCTTCCAAACTAATCTAAGTACCATTTTCAGATGTAAACTTTAAATTAAGATTAAATAGTAGAGGAAACTGGTTCATCTGAACTATGACCAGAGTTCTGTATTTCAGACTAGAACACTATTTTGACCAACAGTATCTATGAAGAGGATTAGGAACATGCTACTTGGCATCCTAAGCAAACAGATGCTGCACAGAGAACAGGTTGAGGCCAGAGGAGAAGAGCTTCTACACTATAAATAGTTCTCATCCTACTATGGCTTTGACTATAAATGTAGCCTGGAACAAATGCAAGCTACAAAGGTAATTTGTTACAATGGCACGCGTAGCACACCTCGCCAAAACTTGTAAATTCTCACAGTTCCTCCAGATTCATGCACACAGCCTTCTAACGCACCCCTTAGTTGATGGCTATAATCTCCCACAAACACCTGAGACGGTGCAACACCAGTTCTAGGCTCTCCCTTTGGTGCAGTCCATCCTGCTCTACTCCTAGTGAGTGCGTCAAGGATGAACTGGAAAAGCTGGAAACGCCTCGCCAGGTAGTGCACCCGAGGCGAATCTGTTTCCCTCCGTCTGACTCTCCCGCTTACCAAGTCTCAACAGTATTTGCTTTAAATAAAATACTTACGAAACCCCAGCAGTGCTCTCTCGGGGCTTGCAGCTGTTCTCCTGCCACTTGGCATTATGTCCCACGCGGAGATGGTTGACCTGACTACATAAATTCTGGAGAAAAGGCAGCAACTCAGAGCTGGGCACATTTGAGTTGCCACTTGCCTTCTTCGGTAAGAAAGAAGACACTGCATTTTTAAGATCACTTTCAAAAAGGGAAGGGTTTTGTGGCACAAGGCGGCACTCATCGTGGTTTGTGGTATTTCCTTTTCCAGGCGGCTGTGTGCTTTTATCAATAAGAGCCTTTAAATTTTCCGTGATGGCCGAAGGTGTCAATCCAGTTCTAAAAGGAAAAGGTGTGGAGGACGCTTTATCTAAGACTCCTGAAGAAGGCGAGGACTGCAGTGTAATCAGATGCTTGTGGCCTGTGGTCCCCAGCATTGACTGAAGCTGATCTCCAATGGGAAGACAATTCTGAGCAAGGAAAATAAGCAAATATTAAAGGATAAATGCTGAGTTTTGGAGTGAGAGCTAGAAGTCGGGCACTCTGCACTCTGTCACTGATATCAGTGCAGCCCCATGAAGAACGCTGTTACTGTTCAATGTTAGAGAGAAAACCAAGGTGAAAGGTTCCTGCCCACAGAAGCCAGACAGTAAGTGGCAGTGCTGGGATATAAACCTAAACTTCTGTCAATCATTTCACTGTAACTTTTCATAAGGAACATATTAAAATATACACTACTATGATAGCAAAATATAATTACAAGCTATAATGTTTTCACTACTAAAGGCTTCCTTATGGCAGTAACATAAGACTAGCCATAATAGTTGATCATTTTCTTTTAGATTTATTTATTTTTATGTATATGTGTCTATGCTTGAGTGTATGTCTTTTATCTAATAATTTCCTTTGAGTGAAACTCATGGAATAAAAAAATATTATTAATATAATAAAACCCGAAAAAACGTAAGAACTTAAATTAACCCACTTCTATTAATCTATGTGCTGCCCCAAGGCTCACGACATTTACCTCTCCAGCAGGTTTTGCTTACTCTCCCTCTGACCGATGACCTTCTCTCTGACTCCACCCTCCTTCTTCCCAGCCTCCTCTGTGTCTGGCTGCCCCACCTATACTTCCTGTCTAGCTACCAGCTAGTCGCAAACAACCCGAGTGACAAATCTTCACAACGTACATAAGGATTATTCCACAACATCAAACTCAGGTCATTAGGCTTATACAGTGAGCCTTTGACCCACTGAACCAACACACCAGCATTTTAAAAATTAATAAAATCAATTTCCACTTGCCTGCTGCTGAAACCTAATCATATTCATCAGCTGCTGAGCTCCAGGAGATAACTTTGATCCCATTGACTCCATTATGGTTTGGATATTGTCGAGGTCTATCCGTGATCCTAGAGCAGAAGAGCTTGGTGAAGGATTTGCTGACCTTGGTCTCACGTGCACCACAACTTTACTGATGAGCACACACTGCTTTTCACCGAAGGACAGCAACTATCATGAAACAAAAACATTCCAGGAAATAACAGTAGTATTAAACACAGCCATCACTTAAGGTAACTTCTTAGTATTACCAAAACAAGAAAGGGCATTCAAGAGTCTAAAAATTAACTCCAAGTGCATTTAAAGTGTCTTTATAGTCGTCAAAGTTAGAAAATAAATTCAAATGCATCATGAGGCAAACACCAACTATTTAAATAAAGAAATCCTTCCCAAGCCATAAGATTCACAGAGAATATGAAAGCTTTCTTTACTTAGTTTAAGGAATTAAAACTAAGCAAAACCTGGCTGGCGGATAGTGCACTGATACAGAACCTGACTGACGTGCTCAAGGCCCCGAGTCTGAGTCCTCTGTATCACCAAGAGAAAGAAACCTAAAATCCCTTGATCCTAGCATTCCCCAGTTGGCTTTAATATTATTTAATATAAAATAAAACTGTCCAATGCCGGGTGATGGTGGCGCACGCCTTTAATCCTAGCACTCGGGAGGCAGAGGCAGGCGGATCTCTGTGAGTTCGAGACCAGCCTGGTCTACAGAGCTAGTGCCAGGACAGGCTCCAAAGCTACAGAGAAACCCTGTCTCGAAAAACCAAAAATAAATAAATAAATAAAAATAAAAAATAAAACTGTCCAGATGGCCATATAGCATTTACCTAATTCCTAAACATAATTCAGTCTTGTAGTTCAGAAATGAAGGGCTATGATGCCAGAGCTACTTAATATGTAATAGCTAGTAGTAGTAAGTAAGGTGGAGCTCAGGGGGAGTTTCTAATTGGGTGAAGGGTGCTAAGGGTGTAAGTCAAGTTTGGAACCCAGCTCCTCTGGCTTTTATCACCATAGATTTTCCATTTTTGTTATGGTAACCAGGGTCTCACACATGCACGCTAGGTCAGTGCTGGTCATTAAGTCATACTCCCATTACCCTGACAGTTTAGGCTGTGCATGTTTCTGAACCAAAATACATTTGATAAGTGGTATAAAGGAAAGGGCTTTAAATCAGACACACCTGAGTTTAAATTCTGAGTTCCGCTATTTCACAACCTGTGCAATCCTGGGCAAATGGTAAGATGACTTTGCATAGAGGCTTGTGTGTCAGTATAGCCACTATATCACTGAGTAAGTGCTCAGAATTCTGAATTAGGAACATTTACACAGCTTTCAAACATGCCAGAGGGTTTCCCTAATTGAAAGTTCTCTTCATACTAACACATGCTTCCATGGAACAGTTACAAAATACATTCACTTTGAGAGACACCTAGACTCTTGTCACAAAGACACAGATCAATAAAACCCCAGACTCTATAAACTCTGAGTCAAATGCGTGACAGTCCTCAACAGTTAAGGAAATGCTCGTTAGTACCTCCCTTCTTTTATCTAAGTATTTTTATTTTTTAGTTTCTTCAGACAGAATCTTAGTGGGCAGCACTGGATGGTCTGGAACTCACTACACAGACCAGGCTGACCTCGAACTTGTGATGTTCTTGAGTGTTAGTATTATAGGTGTGTGACAGCATACTGGTCCCTACTGTCTCCTTTAAATGTATAATCCCAAGAGGCTTTTTCATCAGTGACTACAGTATATCTTTGTTTGTTTTTTTAGACAGGGTCTGTGTGTATGTGTGTGTGTGTGTGTATCATACTAAATAATATATAATCAGTAAATATGATGATCTTGTTCCACTAAATTATAAGCAACATGGAGACTGGCACTCCATTTTGTTTCGTTTTTCAAGGGAGTTTCTTTGTGTAGCCCTGGCTGTCCTGGAACTAGCTCTGTAGACCAGGTTGGCCCCGAACTCAAAGACATCCGCCTGCCTCTGCTGAAATTAAAGGTGATTAAAGGCATGCACACCATCATCCTGCAGCACTTCAATTTTCTACTGATACTCCTAGATGCCTAGTGCAGTATCTGTTATCAACAGTTAATACATATTCACTAAATAAATTAAATCACTTCATTTAAATGCCTTTACAAGCTATTAGACTGACGAATCAACAGCTCTGTGAACTGTGCTCTTCAACAGAGGTCATTTGTTGTTTTCTTGTCTGAAAACTAAGGCTTACCGTCTTCTGGGATAATAAGCACATAATTTTGGAGATAAAACAGTTCCAAAAATTTGGTTTCTAGGGACCATTAATTTTTCTCATGAAGTAGGTCCAGAGAGTTAAAAAAAGCTGACATTGGCCAAATCAATCATTGCTAACAGAGTTGAATTCGTTTTTATAACATGAGTTGAGTATTCCAACTCAGTACCTATTCCTAAACTGACAGCATCAAGAATATTTTTCTGGCTGAAGACAACAGACCAAATTCCTTGAAATTTCTGGCTCTTCTTTGAGCTTTTCCTTCATTCTTTACATACACGGTCAGTTCTGCTTCTGCCTTTTGTGGAACTATGTAGTCTTATAAAAAGATTTTTAAAATGTTCTTAGTGGAGTTTCACAAGGTTTCAAATACAGTACTACTATATTAATAAAACGTATTCTATAACTAATAAGCTACCCCACTTTAAAGATAATTTTAATGTCTATATTCAGAAAATAATATCCCTTTACAAGCTAACGAAGCATTTCTGAACTAAACCTAGGGACCAAGTCAGACTAACTGTACTGCCAAACCAAGAGAAAATAAGTATGTATAGAACTAAAACAATCCGATTAACTTTAAATCTTAAAATTTAGTGATGACTTACCTTTATTTTACAAGTATGGGTGGGAGGTTCCAATTTTAGGTATTTTTTGTACAAAAGAATCTTTTCGCGTTCACTAAAATAAAAGAATTCAATTTTAACAGCCAATGATTGTAAGCATTCATACATACTTAAGAACAAAGGTGTCCTGGGATTCCCTTTTCCCAGGCAGGCAGAGGGAGTCTGAGGTTCCTGACTGGGCAGCAACACCTGGAGGAGCTGTGCCTCCCACGTGCCTGCACGTGAGAGAACCAAACAAAGGAGCCCATGGCGTATTTAAGAGTTCTGTAAACACGACTATTGTTTCCAACATAAATAGGAGACACAGAGTTTGGGTTACATTGAGGATAGATTTGGGCAGAACCTTGTAAAGAGTCAAGGGGAAAAAAACTCAGAAATGGTCCATCTTATAGGAGGTTAATGAGCACGCTGATGCAGCGGTCTTCGGTTGATTGATACACCATTTAGAAGGAGCTTTCTAGAAGGGAATATACTCAGTGTTTCAGAATGCCTAACTGTTGTAAAACAGACCCCACTGAGTTAAATGAGAGACACAAGAATACTTTCTTTTGTTTGTTTGTTCCACGACAGGGTTTCTCTGTGTAGCAGTCCTGGCTGTCCTAGAACTGGCTTCGTAGACCAGGCTGGCCTTGAACTCACAGAGATCCGCCTTTGTGTGTGCCACTGCAGCTGGCTGAGAAACAAGAATACTTACCAGGACTTCAGTCTAATAAAACTCTTCCACTAGTTATCAGTGCCCTACCAATTCACTTCCAGTTAATTAGTCCTAAATTTCCATATTTATAAGCCCACTCATCATTTGAAGGCTTAGGGATCTATTGGTATGTTTTTAACTTCTCTCCCCTAATTCCTGGTGTCAGCGCTAGAAGGTCTACAAATGCTGAAAGAGCCAAGAATAAAGCCACTGACTCAGACAAACGCTTTCACCTGGACAAGTCACAAACCTGTCATCCAGGACAGTGCAGGCATTCTTGCCCCGACTGGTTCCACAATACTCCTCTCCTACATATACTTCCATGTTTCTTGCTGAACTCAGAACGCCAACCGAAAGGATTTCTTCATCCCCATTAGGCCCACACTTCAGGTAAAGGAAGCAGGGGTTTTCATCTCGGGGGCTCAGGCTGCTCTTCAGACTCACCAGATCCAGCCTGAGAAGGAAATCGATAAAATATCACACAGAGATCTTTTCTGAGTAGACCCATAACCCACCTCTTCAAACTCACTTCCACTTGCCCTGAGGGCCAAGAACCTTCCCCAGCACCCACAGGGGCTTCTTAAGGATCGAGGGCTTGAGGCGTCAGGGCAATCCCTTCCACCTTCCCTAGACCGTGGCCATTCTACTCAAATCTCTGATTCATTCGCAGTCAATTAAAAGCGCTCACAGTGTGTAACGAAAGAACAACGATGCGTCTTTCTCTAAGTTGCCGTGCGTGGTTCTTTATGGTTGGACTTGTCCTGCTCCTGTGCCCCTGAATTGAAGGTTGGCTGGTTTCGGGGGTGGGGGCGAGAAGGATTCTAACAGGAGCCTGTGGAGGTGTCCCCGCTGACTCCGGGATCCTGAATCGGTGTTTCCAGGCCTCTCGGCCCATCAAGCAGTCCCTGCCCGCAGCCTCGCCCACCTCCCGGCCCCGGTCCCTCAGCCCACCCCGGTCGGTCCTGCGGCCTTGCTCGGCTCCCGTCTTCCTCCCCACTCCAAGGCAGCGTGGCTGTCACCCGGCCCCAGCCCGGCGTACCCCGGAGCTGACGGCTCCAGCAGCTGCTCGAAGTTCAAGTCCTGGGCATCTGGCCCAATCCGGGTAAGAAGGAGGCTTTGGGTCAGCGCTCCGCACACCGCATCCCAGGACGAGGTCAGCGTCGGGCCGCGGTCCAGTCCCGGACCTTCGGTCGCGGTCTCCATTCTGTCTCCTCCAGCCCAGGAGGCGCCGGAACCTCTCTCGCGGAGCTTGCGTTTCCTTCAGTGCGGAGAGGAGGTGAAGGTTCAGTACAACTTCCGGTTCTTTCCCGCGGCCCCCGCCCCACCCGCTCGGCTTCTTCAAACCCCGGGAAACCAGCCTCCATAAATGCGCATGCGCATAGCGTCTGACTTCCAGAAGTTTGTTCGAAATCTTCGCGGGAGGCGACTGTGGACTTTGCTGGTGTCTTCCTCGCTCCAGTCGCAAGTGCGGTGCGCACGCGAAAACCAAAATGTTTATTCCGACGTTGGCTATGGTGACCCAGCCAGCGGACCAGCGATGGTTTGGGGGCGGACGGGGCGGGTTGGGGACCCTGTGGTAGTCCCAGAGCAGATAGGCGGATCTCTGTGAGTTCGAGGCCAGCCTAATCTACAAGAGCTAGTTCCAGGACAGGCACCAAAGCTACAGAGAAACCCTGTCTCGAAAAACCAAAAAAAGGAAAAAGAAGAAGGAGGAGGAGGAGGAAGAGGAAGAAGAAGAAGAAGAAGAAGAAGAAGAAGAAGAAGAAGAAGAAGAAGAAGAAGAAGAAGAAGAAGAAGAAGAAGAAGAAAAGAAGAAGAAGAAGATCAAAGACCAATAGAAACAAAATCCAGAAATTGCAACCTTTAATATTCAAAGACCCAGTATATGAAGATTTTGTAAAACTCGCGCATTCTAAATTGTCATCATTTCTCTTCTGTATGTCACAAGATTCAAAGTATTTATTCCAGCCAACTGAGACCAAGGTGTGGCCCCGAGTGTCCAGAACAGGTTTTTAAGGGCAGAAACCTGAAAGTTGAAGCATCTGACTGGCAGCCGCAGGGGACTTTGCAGCATAAGCAGGTTTAACAGAAGCTGAGACAAGCGTTTAGCTATCCGAGGTTCCGCACAAACAGGCAGCTAAGGTGAATGGTTAGCCGGTGGGGGTTCCGCACAAACAAGCAGTTTCGACAAAAGCTAAGATAAGTTAACTAGGACCTTCTGACCTTTGGTCTCTAGAATAAATAGAGTTGGGTAGTTTTCTGTGGGATTCCCTGTCGTCAAGATCAGATTATACCTGGAACTGGCCTCGGCAGGAGTACAAGATGAAGGAACCTCTGCATTGTCTTGGCCTGTCACACTGTGTTTCCTGCTTCCTCTGGTCATGAATTAGGTTAATATCTGTAGACATTCCAAAGGGAAGTATACTCTAGAAACACTAACTTGCAATTTTGTACACAAGATTAATACCGTGTGGATTTTTACTTCCTTAAATAAGGCTAATGAATCAGAAAACTAAAGACACTTGTCATAAAGACTCCTGCCAATAAATCACCATTTCTTCATTTCCTCTAAAGCTGTTACCTTTCTTCATCTCTGCTTGTCATGTGTTGAGGCACTACCTTCATCTGAACTGTCCTGGGCTTTTCTTTCCGAGCCAGGAGCCTGTTCTCATCCCCTCCAGATCTTCCTCTGCTCTGCCCTCTGCCCTCTGTCGCTTCTGATGACTGATGCTGCTGACCGAGTCGGCATCACCACACCTGGTGAACTCTGATCCCACCTTCCTCTCAGTCTCCTCCTCCCAGAATATTATTTCTTCCAGTAGTTTTGACAAAAACAAAAGAAGCCTTTATCATTCATAGCCAAGCTTGAATCTCTGTTGTAGAATGGACTTGATTTCTCTGCTGCTTTACAGTCTTTGAAGAACTTGCAGTCCCAGGCTTGGCCAGTTTCCATATTTGCTTCCCCTTCCAGCTACATGCTTTCTGATAAGGAATTGTTTTGTGCTTGGGAAGTTAAGAACAATTCTACTGTGTGGACTTGTTAGAGATAGCAGCTTTATCACAATAATTTATTGATACAGAAGAACTCATTATGCCCTCTAAGAAACTATTTCAAATCTGTGCTCACTGGGGCATGATGGTACATGCCTGTTGTCCCTAGCTACTTGGGAGACAGGTGGAAGGATCCCTTAAACCCACAAGTTAGACACTAAACTTGGCAATAGCAAAAAAAAAACTGCCTTTAGAATATGAATCAACACATATTTGAAAGGTATTAATTAAGTAGTGAGATTTTAGTGGCTAAATATACCTGCCTTTTATCCAGGAGTGTATGTCCCAACAAGGTGGTTATAGGAAATTAATTTCCCTCTTGCCTAGAACCACATAGCTATACTTATCCCCCCCCCTTCCCCTCACCGGTCACAAATTCATTGGTTACCTGCCGGGAATTGATGGGACGTAAAAGGAGTGGAAAGAAGGAATCAAGATGACGTTTTGTTGATACCCCTATAAAAAGCAGCAAAGATGGGGAAGCAGCTCAAATAATTCTGAATTCAATACTTCTTAAACCACACACAGAACATTTTCCCTGTTTGGTAGTTCTTGGTGGTGGTGGTGGTGGTGGTGGTGGTGGTGGTGGTGGTGGTGTGTGTGTGTGTGTGTGTGTGTTTTGAGGGTTAAGGAGTTTGAGAGAGGGTCTCATGTAGAATATCTCGAACACTTGCCCCTCCTGGGTCTGCTTTTCAAGTTCTGGGATTAAGGGAGCCCAATTTGGCTTTGACCTAAAGATCTTTCTGCCTCTGCTCCTGAGGTCTGGGTTCACAGGCCTTCTTCAACATTATGATATTATGCCTGGCTCAAACCTAGGTTGTTTTGTTTTGTTTGAGACAGGGTTTCTCTGTGTAGCTTTGAAGCTTGCCCTTTCACTCGCTCTGTAGACCAGGCTGGATCTGCCAGCCCTTGCCTCCCAAATGCTGGGATTAAAGGCCTGTGCCTCCACCACCTGGTTCAAGCTGATGTCTTTAATGCTGCACTCTGTTCTGCAGTTCAGACCAAGCCCAAGGCTGTAGCCCTGCAGGTTGCCCAAGTCTAGAGCCGCCTGCTGATTTTGATAGAGAGCAGGCTAGTCCCAAAGCCCAGCTCGCTACCTTTGTTTTTTTTTTTTTTGTTTTGTTTTTTAATCTATTTATAATCCCTATGTTCTTTCTCTTCCTGCATGTGTTGGAGGTAAAATCTAAGGATGTGTGTTTCCTGTCTTTATTTCTTCTCCCTTGCTGCCGCCTGGCGGCACCAAGACTCAATAACGAATACTCAACCCTTGATCTTATTAAGCCCAGGAACGGCAGAAAATAGGCTGTCCTCGCTTTGCCTCCTGCTGTCTGACTCCCCGATCTTTACCCTCAGAGCCTTCCTTAAGAAGTTTCAAGTCTCCTGAGATTTTCCTGGACAGAGAAACCTCATTGTAACCAAACCAAAATGCAAAGCCCTAATGGCTTGAAGGTGGGGCAAGAAGGATGATTCTATCGGTAGTAAACCTAACTCAGGGGCCCTTTAAGAGTGTCCAGAAAATACGAAAAGAAGAGCCGATGCCTCCCGGGCCTGGGGTACTGGCGTTAGGGACAGCTGACACCAGTCCTTCACTTGGTCCAGAAGGCGCCTGGACAAAGGCATCCTTTCCGGACCCGCATCCTCGCTTGTTCCTCCAGTGTCGCCAGAGGGCGCGGCATGGTGCTAATGCACAGCGCGTGCGCAGCAGGCGCAAAGGTTTCTGCTGGCCGCAGCGGAAGACATGAAGACTGCGGCGGCGGCTGGGGAGGTCAGCGTGGACGGGCGGCCGAAGCTGGCACTGTGCGTCCTCTGCGGCTTGCCGGCGGCCGGAAAGTCGACCTTCGCTCGTGCGCTGGCCCTCCGGCTGCGGCAAGAGCGGGGCTGGGCAGTGGGCGTCCTCTCCTACGACGATGTGCTGCCCCCCGCGCTCCCGGATGACGTTAGCACACAACCTCGGGTCAGCACCGGGAGGGGGCGGGCGGGTGTGCAGTCCCGGCAGAAGCCGTGGGGCTGTGGGCTGATGACGGCGAGCCGCCCTGGATCCCGACTCAGCAGTGCCAGCGTAGGAGGGGAAGCCTGGTCGAGACGAAGGGAGCTGGTTAGGTCTTGTCTAAGAGACGTAGACCTGCGCTTGGAATAATACTATACAGCGCTGAGAGCCATGCTTTGTAGAGGTTTTATGCAAGTTTGGGCCGTTCACATATTGCTTATTCTATGCAGTGGCGCTCAAGATAAGGCCTAACTATGTTGTACGGGTTGATCCCAAACTCCAGGGCTCAAGGATCATTCTGGCCCCGCCTCTTACTGTGTCTGGGACTACAGGTGCCACCTCCAAATCCTATGGCAGAGTTTAGTTTACAAGGTGGATGTCCTAGTCAGCTACCTCTGGATAACAATCCCTTGGGTAGTTGTACCATTTTGGAACTTCCAATGAGTATAAAGGACAAAAGTGATAACTGACAAATTTCTAGGTCCCTCCAGGGTTGGTCTGCCACTAGTATTGGCAAAGGTGGTGCTTTCTGGGTTGACAGCCAAACGGAGGAATAGACTTGAATTGTGTGCCCCACGGATATACTTCTTAATCCCTGCACTTAGATCCCAGTGAGGTGCACCCCTGGTAGACATACACGGAAGCAGACAGTGTGGAGAAGGGTCCAGTCTCCACTTGCATACTTACTCTACAGCAATGGCTTCTGGGATCTTCTGAAATCTTAAATTGTTACATGTGATGGTTAGTGCTTGAGTGTCACATGAATTAAAGGCAAATAGGATGACTCCATTCTGTAAGAATGTACAAAGATAAATATATACAGAGATACATGTATTCATTAGGTGAAAAAATTCTAGATTTCTCCAGAATTTGTCTGCTGCTTCAATTTTGGTTGCCGGGGGCAGGGAGCAGTATTGTAATTGGGAGTTACTTGTATGATAGTATTCTCACCGCTTTGGATAAAGATAAAAGTTACTGATGCGGATTATTTTTCCTTCACCTTATTACTGTGAATAGAACTCCCCCTCTTGGCCACTCACTGAGATTAGAAAATCTCCACCCTGTAGGAAGTGGCACAGATTTTCTTCTCAGTGGGTCTGTCTGGTGTGCTTGCATGTGGACAAGGCAGGAGAAGGATTCATCCCCGGTCCTTCTGTATTTCCTCCAGCCTTGACTTCAGAACTACAGTGTTCCCCACCACCTCTCACAAAGCAAGATCACATGTATTCTCAGGCTCCTTATTTCCTCCCTCCTATCTCTTCCTGCATCTCACA